CTGTGAGAGGCAGAAGGAGAAGCGGGTAGATGTGGAAGTCAAACCTGATTAGGCCCACCTGCCAAGTCTCTCTTCTTTCCATCGCTACACCCTGATTGCTAGGTAGTAGCGCCCCCTCCCCCTCCCCACCAAGTTCTTTTTACTACCCTTACCCCACCCAACCCTTATGCTGTTTCCACTGACCCCAGTTCACTTCTGATGCCCTTAGCCAATCAGCATGCTAGCCCTGGCAGCAGCAGAGTAATTAAAAGGGAGTTGTGTCTACTTGGCATGTAAGCTGCTGGGCATAGGGGTAGACAAACACTCTCTCTCTCTTTGCCGCCCTGCCTCCTCCCCTCTTTCCCAGCCAGGTGGTAGCGTACAGGACCTGTCAGATTAGCTGATGACCCTTTTAATTCTAACCCAGCCGGGGGCCATAATTGATATTTACAGAGAAAGGTTAATTGTAGCAGTGATCTGCTTAAATTACAGTGGAGATCAGGAGACCAGGGCCAGACACCACATTTGCCACCAGGGGAGCTACTACATGCACACTGCTAGTCAAATGGATTACACCCCGCGGCCATCGCTGCTGTACTCCAAGGTGGAGAAGCAGCACAGGCTGATTTGATTGGCTACTCCTGTGCCAGATCTGAGTCCTCCTTGCTGAGTTTGCCAGCCTCCCATCTGGTTGGAAATCTGGATGCATGCCAACTGTGGGACTTGATCGGCTGCAATAAAAACAAACCATCCATGTTGGCATCAGGCTTATCACTGATGTGGGTCACAGGGCACACTGAATTTATAATACAATGCAGAAAAAACATTTATTCATACATTCACTGAAGCCTATTCTACATGTAACTGGTGTAAAGGAGCTAGATTAGTGTTTCCCAAAGTTGGGGTTGCAACCCCATTTAGATTGAAAACACTAATTTAGAGGTCTTAAGAAGATCCAAAAAATGACTGCAAATACCATACAAACTTTAGTCTTTTGTATACAAAAATAGTATGATTGGTTGATGAGTCCCTTTGTGTTTTTATCAATGTTTGCACACTTTAACCAGCAATAGCTGAGTTGTGAGTCCCTGCAATTTTTTTTTTTTTTTTTTTTTTTTTTTTTGTGGGTCAAACGCTGAAACTTTTTGGAACCACTTGGATAGAGCCATCATTGGACAACACAAATATAAGCATATGTGATCTCAGTGCCATGATGAATTTTAAAGGAAGAGTAATCATTTCCTGTGTAAAACATTTCACTATAAAAKAAGTCTTGATCGATGACATCTCCTCACAGTTTTTCCACATTTTTGATTGCTCTTGCAACAATATACCCTATTTTACTTTTTTTGTTTTGTGCTACTGAAGTGAATTTGGAGGTTTGGGCTCCAGGTGTTCTACAGTCAGTTCTAATTTGCATTTATCCAAAGTACAAACTGAACTTGGAAAAATTCTAATAACGTTGTGTTTGCTATCAGATGAAAAAGAGGAAGACTGTGGCTTATTTGAAGTCGTTGAAGTTTTTGTTTTGCTGTATTATGATGCATAAATACCAAAGTAAATGTTATATTGTATCACAGTTTTTAAAATAGCAAAATGAGTATAGACTTTGATTTACTGAGTACTTTTTTTGCACATTTATTTATTTGGGAGTAAAGCTTTTTGAAGTCCTTTTTTATCAATAAAAACAAAGTTCTGTCAAATATATATCTGGCACAGTGGAAGCAAAATGAGGGAGAAGTGCAGCCACAGAGCTGCTGAGATCCTCTCAACTGAGACCCTAGACTGCTGCATACAAGGACA